CTTAGCTTAGCTTGTTCTAAGTAGGTGCCTTAGACCACTGAGCCATCTTACCAGCCCCCAATTCATTCTCATGTTCAGAACAATTTAAATTTTCAATGTGCTTCTTTGCTACATTTTCCATTACATTGCTCACTATGTAGGCAACTTGGTCCTTAAAGCTTTTTTACAAGGCTCTTCTGAAAACTTTCAAGTACCCTTTATTTCAATTTTATTTTACATTTGCTTTCAAGTTCATATTCCCATATAATAACTACATGTTTAGCACAAATGCTTTTGTAACTCCTATTTCAACATGCTCTGTATATAAAAGATACCTAAAGAATGTAAACATACAGACCACTTAGAAGGAGAAAGCTAACAGAAAGGTAACAATAACTGGTTCTGGCTACCTCAGATGATGAGATACTGTGTAAGAAGCCAGCTCTGTGGAGCTGCTTACAGGCCGACACAACAGACGCCAGCCTGGTCCTCTCCAGGTGGGCATCAGGGTCACACAAGTCAATGGCACAAAGCTCCTCAATGCTGGCCACGTAGGAAAGACAGAAAAAAAAAACAGGTGAGTTCAATCTTGTTACTGGGATACACTGTGTGCTTTCTTATAAATTCATTGATTATATGTCACTCAAACTCATTAACACCATGCTGGAAAGCAAGCGGGCAACAGCAGACGAGGCTCCACAACTTAGCTATGGAAACCACACAGGGTGCCAACCACGTGTGCTAATCACCCCCGGTGCAGAAAAGGCCTTTGCTACATGCACACTGCAGACAAGGGATGGTATCATTTGCACCACACCAGCCGCTGACGCAGCCCTTCACCGAGAGAATGGGAACTAGAGCAGCCTGCATGTGGCTGGCAGGAGCACTGCCACGTGCTAGGACCCAAAGGTTCACAACAAGACAACACTGAGCGTGACCGGAAGGCCCACCTCTGTGCTGTTACTTTTTCCCTCAGGTGAGTCTCCAGGGTGTCTTTGTACGGGGACTTCTTCAGTGCTTTCATTAGGTTCACACAAACACTCGGAAGACGGTCCATAACCTGGACGTCACCAGTATTGAAACCGATGTTCACAGGCTCACACACGGTTTTCACCAAGAGTTTCATAAGGCTTGTATTACACAAATCCTTCTCCAGGAGCTAGGAAAGATGGTAGGAGTAAAAATATTTCTGTCAGCTAGCAGTGATACGTTCATTATGGTTCAAGAGGTTGGGAATTTTTACCTGTCTAGGACTAGGGTTGACAAACTTTCTCTGTAAGGACAGTAAACATGCCTGGCTTCGTGGGCCACTCAGTTGCAGCTGCAACTACTGACTCCATCCTGATGGGGAACCAGCAAAGATAGTTCAGGCAGAGCCATGTGCTGGAGATTTAGCTGATGAGAACAGGGAGTGAGTGGGGCTTTGCCTACAAATCAGTTTTTCAGTCCCTCTATTAGGACTCTGCTATATCTCATGACCTGGCGTCCAGCAGACCCTGGATATATTCCCTGGATGCTGGGTTAGGGATATAGCTCAGCAGCACAGAACCTGCCTGGCAAGTGCAAGGTCCTGTGTTTGATTCCCAGCATATATATTTTTTCACTCCCTGGACTGACTGGAATTTGGTTACATAGTAAGTCTCAAAGGTACACTTATAAATATTTGCTAACATGTGCTTCTGAAAAGCGGAACATCATATAAAATGTAGCATTCAACAAAATATTTAGAAAGATTAGATTATATTTATAAAATAAAAGCCTGAAGGGCATATAGTTTTATTATAAGTTGAGTATCTTTTATCTGAAATACTTGGGACTAAAAGTATTTTGGGTTTCATAGACTATCAGTTAAGTATCTCTAATCAGAATATCTGAAATCCAAAATGCTCCAAATCTGAAACACTGAGTGGCAACATCATGCTCTAAGTTTCAGATTTTGAGTGTTCTAGATTTCCAGATTAGGGCTGCTCCACAAGCATTTTCAAGAACAGATGACAGAAAGACTATAGTAAAAAACAGTGTATTCTCTACTTAAAACTTGCTGAGAGCAGCACAAAATGGTACATATAGGAAGTAATACACATTAATTTACAAGACAGTCATTCTACCATCTATGCATATATCAAAATACCATGTTCTACACTATGAATATATGCAGCTTTTATTTCTCAACTGAAATAAGAATAGATAACTCTTCTGGCAATGGAAATTTCCAATGGGGCAAAGCCTGTTCCAAGAGGAAGTTCTCAAAGCATTTCTTTAGTATGAAATACTGACCTGAAATGAACAAGAGGAGCAAGAGAGGCCCTACCTTCCATCCTTCTGGGGAGGTGTTGAGCAGCGTTGTGGTAAACTCCATAATCCGTACCACGACTGTGCATTTACTGTAGTTGTACCTTTCCTCCTCGTGTGGGCTGGGTTGGGCGCCCCCCGCCCCGGTGCCAAGGCACTTTCCTGCTGCTGTGAAATCATTCATAGCAATAGTTTCTAAAAAGAAAGCCACTGACTTCCAAAGTGAAGAATCGGTTTTGGTACCTAGAAATAATTACATTAAAACATTAATACATGCCTCTTTCTAATACCACTAAAACTAATATAAGGTTTCTTCTTTAAATTTAGATTCTGGTATATTCTCAATCAAAACTCAGTGTTGTAAAAGAAAACATAATTTAAATAAAACCGCAGATATTGAGTTTTCCATATAAGAAAAGTCATGTGATTAGGCTGTGTGTCTATTTATTTCACTTAACATTATAGTCTTGAGGTATATCCATTTTCTTATGAATACCTCAAATTTATTCTGTTTTTATGTCAGGGGATCTAGAGCTACAACGAAGTGGGGAGAAAGGAGAGGACAGGGAAGCTAAAGGAGTTAAGGGGTATCATGTATGTGTACCGATTTCCCATGCGAATACAATCACTATGCATTGCAAACATGTACTAATAAAAAAAAAATCTATAGAATAGCACCTAATTTCCACTTTTTTTTTTTTCTTTTGGAGACAGGATCTTGATATGTATTCCAGGCTGGCCTCAAACTTGCAGTGATCCCCCTGCCTCAACCTTCCAGTGCTGGGATTATAGGCACATGCCACAACACCAGGCTCACCGCAATTTTCAAGTTCACAATCCCAAGACTCAACCAAAGCACAACCCAACTTTAAGATAATACAACAACAAAATTTCTAAACAAGGTTTAGACTTCACAGTCAAACAGCAATGGTAAGAATATAAATTAGCCAGGGATATAGCTCAGTGGCATAAGTGTCTGCCTGGCAAGAACAAAGTCCTGAGTTCGATCCCCAATACAAAAAAAAAAAAAGACAAGATGCCCAGAACATGATGCAGTGGTAAGCAGCAGAGAAACAACCTCTCTGAGCACCGCCATCTAGACCCTGGAATAAAGCAATGTGAGAAAAACGAGGAGGGAAGTGGGTCCCCTGGATTCAAAAAGGATCTGAAGTCCAAACTGAAGCCCACAGAGAGTAAAGAGAGAAACTTCAATGGAGAAGGAGGTAACTGGTACAGCCTTCCCAAGATGGGACTCGCTGCACAAAAGGAGTGGTTCAAACTGGGGACACACAGTGACTAGTGGTGACCCAGAGGCCTACACGGAGGAAGCAGTGGATGTGAAGGACTGCGCGAGCTGGAGGTCAACGCTGAGGGCTCGGTCATCACGTAGGAGACAGTGATTGGCCCAGAGCCATCTTGGAGAGGGGCCAGCTGAGCTCAGAACTCACAACAGCTGCTGGCTCCACCTAGCGACTCCCAGCTGGGCTCAGGCCCTCGGAAGGTGTGCTGACAGCTGCAGGCTGAATGAGTGCAGTCTAGGCCAGAGGCGCAGGTTCTGAGATTATGCACTACTATTCCCAAAACCTACTTCTGGCTTGCTGAAATAAAGTGGCATGGCTTGGAACTCTTATCTCCACACGGTGTCTACCAGTGACAGCAGAGACAATCCTGGAAACACTTTTTTTCTTTTCTATTTTTTGTTGTTTTGTTTTTTGTGATTTTACACGAGTGTGAAAATGGTTTCTAGCCTCTTTGTGGTTTCTGTTCTGTCCTTTTTCCTTCTTCCTTCTCTCCTGTCCTCCAGTCATCTGCACCAGTTTCCCAAAGTTATCATGAGCCCCCTTTGTCCTCCAGCCTTACTTCTAATCTCTTCCTCTTCTTTCATCTTTCATTTCTCTATTTTATTATAACCTGTTTTAAATTTTAATCCCTGAGGGCAAAATTGACACATTATGGACTTGTACATTGAAGATAACTTTCTGGTTTTAGGTTTTATTATAAATCTGGTTCATAAATCTAGTTCACAAAGTTAAAGTTGGCAAATTAATAATTAGCTCAGTTTGTCATTTTCCAGGTTGTGTTTGACTCTATTATCATTGCTAATGGCGCCACTATAGCCAAAAGTGACACAATTGCTCTGAACAGCTGTTTTTCCTCGTATTCCAAGACTGAGACTGACTAAGAGTCACAGAAAATACTGTGGCACGTTGTAAAGAACCAGGGCCGGGGGCAAGGAGGCAGGAACTTCTCATCACCAACAAACTGAACGTGTAGGATCTTGCAGCAGACTCAAAACCCAAAAGCCAGCGACATCTGGAGGACACCCAAGACAGTCATTTCCTAAGCATTACAAATACTAGTAATAAGGCTCACTATAGGCAATTTACAAGCATCACCCCAGAAATTAAACTTAAAAAAGTGAAGAAAATGAGAAGATACTTAAGATGAAACCCAACATCCAGTTCACTAAAGATAAATCCAGGGTGCACTGAGGTGGGACAATCCAAAAGCCACCCACCTGGCCCCAGAAAAAATCAAATCAGAAATAATTGTTCAGTTAAATGTAGCGATGGCATCCACAATGAAAACCATGTTTTGTGACTCTAGAGCAGATACAGACAATAACGATAGTAACAATAATAATAATAAAGGACCTTAAGAAAATCATGGAAGCCATGAATACATAGCATAGGAAACAAATGGAATCCGTAAGGCAGATTCAAGCAGACATTCAGAAGAATAGAAATTCTGTTGTAAGCAGATTAAGCCAACCTGAGGGCAAGATCTCAGATACAGAAGACAGGCTTGTGCTTAACAATCATGGAAAGAAAAAATTCTTGAACACTGCAAAGGAACATGAGAAATCAACCCAGCAGCTACTAGATAAAGTAAATAAGAATAACTTAAGATCAGTTGGAGCCAATGATAAAGCAGAAGACACCACAAATGATATTAAAAAAAACCTTCACAGATGTCATGGCAAAAAAACTTCCCTGGTAGAAAAAAAGAATTTGACATACAAGTAAGTGAGGCATACAGAACTCCTATTAGTCATGATCAAAAAATTTAGAGCCAGGCAGATCATAATCAAGATTCCAGAAATTCATAATAAGAACAGAATATTAAAAGCTGTAAAAGAAACAAATCACCTCTAAAAGAAAGGCCATCAGAATCACAGCTGACTTCTCAGCAGCAAAAGCCCTCAAGTCAAGGACAGCTTGGAGTGAAGTTATTTCAAGTTCTAAAGAAAAACAACCTTCAACCCAGACTGATGTACCCTGCAAAACTATCTTTCAAAACTGATGGAGAAAGAAGATGCATCCATGACAAAGCACATCTGAGGAAATTTATCATCAAACCAGCATTCCAAAATATTGTGAAGGACATACTAGAAAGAGATAACAAAGATTACAGCTCCATGAACTAAAACAAGGAATCCACCACCTAAGACAAACAATTGAACAGAGTGAGGGAAAAAGTATGTGTGTGGAGGGGGGAGCCAACAACAGGAAAATAACACTACGAAGATAAACCAATACATATCATCAATGCTTTAACCATCAATGTTAATAGTCTCAATTCACCAATCAAAAGACAAGGACTGGCAGAATAGATGAAGAAGCAAGATCCAACAACAGACTACATTCAAGAAACACATTTAATTAAAAAAGAAATTCACCGACTAAAAGTCAAAGGATGGAGAATACTGCATGTGACAGGAACCCAGAAAAAAGCAGGGGAGCTATTCTGTCTGCAAAATAAATTTCAAGCCAAGATGGATTAAGAGAGATTTAAAAAAGAAAAAGGTCACTACATCCTTGTAGAGGAAGAATCCAAGAGGAAGAGATAACAATCATAAATATACATGCAAAAACCAACAGGGCACCTAATTATATAAAACAAATATTAAATTAATACAACTATTTAAAAGGATACAGGCAGGCATGGTGGTGCACATCTGCAATCCAGCACTTGGAAAGCTGAGGAAGGAGGATCATTGGGAGTTCAAGACCAGCCTGGGCTACAAAGTGAGCTCAAGGTCAGCCTGAACTTCATAGCAAGACTCTGTCTCAAAAAGGAAAAGAAAAAAAAAAAAAAAGTAAGGGGCATGGGGCGCATTGGAAACCCCAGAACTCTGGAGGCTACGGCAACAGGATCACTGTGAGTTCAAAGCCAGCCTGGGCTACATTGTGAGTCCAGGCCAGCCTGAACAAAATAGGGAGACCCTGTCTCAAAAGAAAATATAAAAATAAATTAAATTTAAAAAATAAAATGGCAAGTTGGCATTTCATACCAAAATCTTTAAAAAATATACATGGCAATCTCTTATTAAATGTTTTATGAAACTATGCTTTCATCCACTGAAATTTTAATCTAATAAAATAGCAGGTTTGCAAAACATGCTTGTAAGAATTTTATCGTTTTTAATTACAAAAAATCCCAAAACAACTTCAATGTCACCTCTTGTTAGTTTTTATCTGTTTGTCCCTCTAAGTCCCATGTACTCATAGGGAGGCTTTGAGGAGGTGACTAGATCATCGGGTGACACTCATCTGTGGATTAGACTTCTGATAAGTTTACAGCTGAATTAGATTTGGAAGGCGAGGCCTAGCTGGAGGAGGCAGGCCAATGGGTCAGTGAGGGCACGGCCTAGAAGAGTCTGTAGACCTCCTTCCTCCCTTGATCTCTCTGCTTCCTGCTGTCAGCCATGGTCTTCTCCTCGGTCACGCCCCGCCGCCATGCTGCCACGCCACCTTGCCATGGAGCCAGTCAACTATGGACTGTGAGCCAGAATTTGCCTTCGCTCCTTTAAGCTGTGGGCACTGGTATTATATTTTGGCTCTGAGAAAGTACCTTCTCCTGAATCTTAGTGCAATTTAGTAAAATCCAGAGAGTAAAGCCTTTCAGAGCTCCAGGTGTAAAACATCAGTGTAGTTCTAAGCAACAAACAAAGGCAATGACTGAGTAAGAAATCTTCTTACAGGCCTAGAGGCTGCCAATTCTTTATAGTCAACAAAATCTAAAGAAAGTTAAAACTTTTCAATGGCGAACTACAAATAATGTAAATGACAGATCACTAGGCATTCATTCAGAGTGGGGAGGTCATGTGTCAAAAATTACATTTGCGGGGCTGGAGAGATGGCTCAGTGGTCTAAAGCAGCTACTTGGAACAAGCTTGGCAAAGCACAAGGACCGCAGTTCGATCCTTCAGCACCACATGCCAGCCAGCCTCGCCCCCTGGT